CCCCCCCCCACCCTCCCCCCCAAACCTCCTCCCCCCCCCCCCAATCATCGCCTCATCCTCCGCAAAGAACGCCTGAACCTTCAACTTCACCCCCCCCCCCCCCCTCGCCTCCCATTGTTCGGATAGCGCGGGGACAAAGGTGCGGTAATCATTGCATGCGCCCCAGCTTACTTCTTCGGGTGTGCCTTTTTGCGAACACAGGACGGCTTCGGCGTTGGCGCCGCTGGTTTCTTCGGTGAACATCATTTTCAACCCTAACTTCTGGACCTCGCTCTTCCTCGCGCGGGTCATTCCGAAGGCCTTCATCGACGCCGCCTCATCCTCATCATCCCCTCCCCTCCCCCCCGCAGCAGCAGCAGGGTTAGACACCCTCCCCCCCAACGCCGCAATCCCCTCCACCACCCCCCCACTAGCCGCAAACCCCGGCAACAGCCTCGTAGCCACAAACCCACTAAGCCCATCCCAACACTTCTCGACCAGGAATTTAGGCATCCAGTCTGAGGCTACGAAGGACATTAAGCCTGCTCCTGAGTCGCGGGGGTGAACCCAGGGTGTTAGGATGGCGGCGTAGGGGGAGGTGGGGGGGAGGAGGTGAGGGTGGGTGGAGAGGGTGGAGAGGAGGTAGATTGTTCCTGCTGAGGCGGCGAGGGGGACGATGTGTGTGCAGTGCAGGTGTTCTACTAGAGCTGGGAGGGTGAGGAGCCAGGTGTCTATCCTTTCGGATAACGGGACGGGGGTGGAGCCTCCAAATGATGGTCTGCGGAGGAGTTAGAGATGCGGTTCTGGTAAGGAGGAGGCTGAGGAGGGCGGGGGGTGCTTTGAGAGTTGCTTTCTTTGGCAGTAGTCTAACAGCGGCAGGGAGAGGGACGGTAAAATATCCTCCTAATCCCCCAATCTCCAGGCCAAGCAATAGCCTCATTCCACTACTTCACCCTCCCCCCCCCCAACACCCCCCACCCCCAAAGAAAGAAAACCCAAAACTCACCGATCAACACAAACCAACCTCACCCCAACCCTAAGCGCAACAGCATGCCACAACAACGCAACCCACCTCATCCCATACATCCCCGATATAAACACCACTGTGGGCGCGTCATCATTTTCTAACCCCGCTATCGCATATGTGACTTTCAAGGGCTTGCGGGTCTCTGTTCCGGGGATTGTGAAGGATCGATGCATGCGCGAGGCGCAGACGTAGGTGATGGCGAAGTCTTTGTCGGATGTTTCTTCTGCCATGGTGTGTAGAAAAAAGGGGGGTATTGGTGGGGAGAGGCGGGAGGGGGACGGGGAACTGGTGTGGGGAGGTAGAGGGTGGGGGAGGGGAGGGGAGGGGGGTGGTTGTTATATGGTGGGGTGGGAGATGTCAGTGCAGAATAGGCGTCGTCATCAGCGTCGTGGGCGGCCAAGCAAAATACGATGTGGGCGTGGGAGTATTGATTTTGAACAAAAAACACAAAATTGGAAGATGTGTGAATTATTATATTTATGGAGTTGAAGTAAGATGTTTAAAGTTGGAAGGTAGGGTAAGTAAGGATTAATATTTTCCTAGTACCGGAGCGGGGTGAGAGGTGTAATGGGAAGGGTTGCTGGACATCTTTCTCACATCCACGACGCCGGCAGACACTCTTGCGTATCCTCTAGCTAATAGTCTTAATCGTGCCAATAGGCATAGCGCCGAATCGGGGCCACTTGCCGCCTGAAGGGTGAGGCGAGGGGTGAGTGGGGTGAGCTGGGTGAGTAAGTCGAAGCAACATTTTCGTGTCAGTTTGGCGTTGTGGTCGTAGTAGCCGGAGTTTAGCCATTTTAGTCTACGTACCTCGTTCAGGTGCTTTGCTCGTTTCTCCATGATTGCCATCTCTGAGGTATCAGAGTAAGCCACGTACTACAACCCCAAAGTGCTGGGTGCTACATCAAAGCTACAAGATGCTAAATTAATGACAGAATATTAGGCAGACACTATATTTATGAAGCTCACGTGATTTTAGGAGCTTGGTTCCTTATCAAAATCTCCAAAACCGACAACGTTCAAACATCTCGCGGGCATGCTAGCTCTGTCTACTCGCCAATCTGCACCTCATTCGTTGTTCTCCTTCGGGCACGACTGCTAACCTTGCCTACACTTGGAAAGTTTAGAATTGAATGGAGTTTGAAATACGAATCTCCATGTGGCCCCACCATTGTTTAACTGATTTAAAAATCTGGGTCATGGTACCCGCGTCCCACATTCACACCTAGCATATCGCCATCTAAACGTAAAACCTAGAAAGTGATTCTGCCTTAAAGATCTAGGGCATAGTCAATTAGGCAACCCATGTCGCACCTGTTAATTAACATCCTTTCCGATGATAGCAGGCTTCCTCTAGTAAAATGGTATCCCCTTAGATCAAGGCGACATTATAGTGGAAATGCAAATGGCCGAAATTTACTTGAATGCAAGCGCCGCGACTTCGCATACCTATAACAGGGTACAGTTTTCCTGCTTTGGCCTTCATCGCGTTCCCTATATTGGGGTATTAGCTTGTCTATAACCAACAAAAGATATCTATTAAGGGAAATACATACCATTTTTAGTGAAATAAACTTCGTTATCGCAAGTGAGGCAACACCCAACTACGTCTTCAGCCCCGAATATATTACTGTAAGGCTTGTAAATAACTGCACCAGTCGTCTGATTTTCCATCAGGGCCACACCTGCAGGGAAGTGGTCTGACTCTCCCATAATGTGCTGTATCAAAAACCAGTGTATCGATATAGCTTTGATGATAATTAAAAGCTGGTGAGCCAACCTCGGTGGTAAATCAAAAAGAAGATCCATTTTGGGGCATGAGGAATGAGAAATCATTCATCATCGTGTCCCACACAAAGTCGTCAAACACAGGTCCGGCCAAATCAAATTGCAGGTCTAGTTGACTTGCAGAAGAAACGCGCGGGTTATCTATTTCTAGCTCCACATGACTTGTGTTGAGTGCTGGCGGCATTGATCCTTGTATATCTGTAATCCTGACTTGCGGATGCGACATCTGTGAAAGGGATGACTGTTTTTGCTGCGTTTCAAATTGCCCTGGAGCAAGTCTATTCTCAGCTCCGATTCGGCTTTCATACCCAGATTGTATGCTTTTGAGTACAATCCCATAATTATATGCCATGTCCCTAATGCCGTCATCATCAACAAGCTGTGTGGTGACTTCGGCCAATTTCCCCATATACAAATCCAGCATACGAGGTATCATGACTTCCTTTGCAGCAACTCTTCTGAAGTCAGCTTCTAGCGATTCTGCTTGGCCATGTCCCCGTAGATTTATCTGTTCTTGTCCCATGGTACCAGCCCCACAGTCGAGGAAAACAGTCTTGACTTGAACGATAAAGACGTAAGAAAGTTCTGTCCACCAAGACAGTGGAAAATGAAGTAGCTCGGCATTCTCAACTGACAGACACCAATCATGAAATGAGACAGTTGCTGCGACGAGCTGCCACAGCATATTAGTTCGCTGCATTGAGAGCTGAATTGAGTGGTTAGTCTCTAGTGGAGCGAGTCGGTCAGACACGAAAGTGCTTTGCCAAAGTTCGTTATAGAGCGCAACCTCATGATTCCAGACTTCTAGGAAGCGAAGATTTTGGACCAGAATAACATTTCTGTTTGTTAAACCAATGCTTTTCTTAAGTCCATCAATTTCACGGGAGAATGAATCAACGGTGATCTGCAGTGCGCGCTCCCCTCTTATGGCGCAAGCAGATATATCGTAGTAGCAGAAAGCGTCACTAATCTTCCTCTGAAGGACCTGGATTTCCACAAATGGCATTATCAATTGATCGCTGGGAACGTCCCGCAGTCCTGAGAGATATGTGCAACAATTCTCCATATACGATGTGTAGTGCATAAGCGTCCGTTTTCTCAACGCCATTGATAACCTTTTTAGAGTTGACAGTTAGTTCGATTTTCAGTACAATAGCCACTGTGCAGGTAGAGCATACATAGATGATAAACAATATGTTCCGAGGAGAGCTCTCATCTCTGCCGGATCTCGCGTTTTCCCTTGAGTTTCAGCCTCCTCTAGACCTCTCTTTCCCTTCTCATTCAAGTCCAGTCTCAACTCATGGCACATGCTAACGCAGAGCTGTACCATGAGGAAGTATTGATGCTTCCCAGGCACACAGAAGTATTGATACCAAGCTACGAATACCAAAAGACCTTGTAAAAGATCTATACTTGCTTCATGACCCATCACTAAGCGATCGCAAATTTGCTTTTTGATCTCCAGTCCTAGTCTGCGCTGTAGCATGGTATCCTCAAAAGAAGTGACCGCCATAATACACAAGAAAAGGAATGGATTGGCGCATCGCAGAGCTTCTGGGCTGACTGTGGGAGGAACAACCACAAATGGGAAGTAGTGGACGAAACCTTGTCGGAAAGTCTCCAGTCGAAGATCCGCAGCAGCCAGGCCTCCTAGATCATGTTGGACAACGTCGGTCAAGATATCATTATGAACATCTCTGGATCTGGGCAGGAATCCGGAAGATGCAAAGTGGCTTCCACTTATTCGGTCGTGTAAGGATGAAGAGCTGGAATGAAGAATCTCAGTAGGGCGATTACATCGTGGTCCTTGAAATGAGGTCGAACGGATGTCTTGCGTTAAAGTAGCTATTTGCGTGGACAACATGTCCACCTTCTCCTCGAGTCTCTTCGCAGATCTGAGGACGAGTTAGCTTGTTCTATGCCGAAGAAATACTTAGTGTATATAGAAGGGGCCCCTCAATAACTAAGTGCAGTCCACTTCAGTAAGTGACTTCACTTCGGTCATTACGCCGTGTCCAGTGATTGAATTGAGGCATGTCTCCATGCACTCAAGTGGCTCCTTGTGAGCACGCTATTCCGAAGCGCTCTTATAGACATCTAATCTCACAGGACTATGCAAACAGTATATAGGATTGTTTCACTCACGAGACCTCTCTCCGATTTCTTTTTGCCTCAGAAGAAGGATCTGCATAGACGCATCCTTTGCCTAATCTCTCACATCTTGCGCATGATTCTGCGCCCAACGAAGCAGAAGTGCATTTGACCTTGGCGCTAGTGCAGCTGAGGCACGCTCGCCTCCTTACCCGCAGATCTATCATCGATGATGGTTCCGGTACCTCCATCCTGGTGACCTGCGATTTCGTACGGAGATATAAACCAGCTGATAGTCGAGATCCGTCGGAAAATACGGGACGGCAGCGGCCATTCCGACCCGAGAATAATAAGGAAGACTTATGTCACCAGAATTCAAAGGCCTTTGTGGGCTTAGGCTATTTTGGGCCTAGTGTTAATATATCGGGTGTCGTGTTTTCCGTGCCGCCCGAAACTCGTCAAGACGCCCCCTCCCGTTAACGGAATCGTCAACGAATCACCATGCTATCATTTCCGTGCAGGAAAGAGGAATATCCGCTGCCGACCAATCCCCCTAGGCCTAGTGCTAAGATATCGGGCAAGTCGTGTTTTCCGTGCCAACTCGTCAAGACCCTTTGTTAACGGAATCGTCAGAGAAGCACCATGCTATCATTTCCGGGCGGTAGGAGGAATATCCGCTGCCGACCAACCCCCCTTATGGCTATATATAAGGATTTCGATCGCTGCCACAGAGCGGGTCAATCACGAAATCCATCAACCTTGAACAAAGGCTTCTATCATAATCAACGTGTCATACCCTATTCATTTCATCAGACTCCCTGAAAAAGATTTGTCCCTGGTTCTCCCAGAATGCCGGGGCCCGCATTTATTCTAAGGGGCAAGTTTTTCCCGCCCAAACAGATCACGAAGACATTCGAAGGGAAGACCGTAATCGTGACAGGGTCAAATACCGGGGTGGGTTATGAAACCGCCCTCAAATATGTCCAACTCGCCGCGTCAATAGTCATTCTGGGTGTCAGGAGTCTGCAGAAGGGCGAAATAGCAAAATCGCAAATTGAAAAATCGACAGGGCGGGCAGGCGTTGTCCAAGTATGGCAATTGGACATGGCCAACTTCGAAAGCATCGATGCATTCGCGAAGCGTGTTGAGAGTTTGAAAAGGGTCGATGTTGCTGTTCTTAACGCAGGTCTCTTTAATCGCACTTACAAGGTGTCCGAGACGGGATGGGAGAGCAATCTTCAAGTTAATACTCTTGGGACTGCGCTCTTAGCGATCCTTCTCACTCCAAAGCTGCAAGCGTCCCGAACTGCAGATTCACGGGCACATCTAGTTGTAGTCACATCAACAGGGCACATCGAAGTGCAGCTGAAACCTCGAGACAAAGATCAACTTCTCCACAAATACAACATTGATCTTGGGGTGGGACTGTATCAGCAGCATGTGACCTCCAAGTTATTCATGATGTGGATCACAAGAGAGCTGGCATATCGCTGTCTCGATGGCAAAGGCGAACCGACAGTGATCATTAATGATGCGTGTCCTGGTCCATGCCGGAGCGATGTTACGAGAGATTTCGATACCCCTCTATGGACCATTGCCAAGGGCGTTGGCTCTTTTCTGGCCTTGAGACCTGCGGAAAACGGTGCTCGCGTGCTTGTTGGCGCATCCACTTTAGGGGAGGATTCACACGGACAGTGGTTGTCTGCAGATGGATATTATAGGCCGTGAGTTAACCTCTAAGAAGAGAGAAGAGAGTTACGCTGACAAACACAATAGCTCTGGCCAGTATATTACGAGTGATGAAGGCAAGATCTTGCAAAAGGCAATGTGGACTGAGGTTGTCGGTGTTGTTGAAGAAAAAATTCCTCGAGTCAAGGGCGTGATTGCGAGTCTGTCTGAGCAGAGGGCTTTGAGATAGGAAGTATGTTTTGAGAGGCGTTACTAGGCCGAATATCATTATACCCTTGTAGATTCTAAACTCGCCTTGTTTCCCAGATTTCCAAGGTGAATAGGAGATTGGTACCTGCTGAGCCTCTGGTCCACTAGTCCCACGATTGTGACAATCGTCCAATGCACCTCCCCTAGATATTTTCGTGCTTCTAAGCAGATCCTCCTGTTAACACACCATTATGTGATAATATTTTGTCAGGAGTCTGTAGTGGTTAATTTTGTTTATCTATATTGTTTACGCTCGCAGAATGAAAAGAAAAACAAGGATCTATACGGTCCTAAATTAAGTCATGCTATCCATGTCCCCTACAATGAGCCCTTCTTCCAATACTAAAGCTGATCTAAATTACTTCGTCTTAGCTTGATGTGCCTTTTCAGGAACATCATGCTCAAGAAGAACTCTTTACACCCCTAATGGAGTAAGCTTTGCTTGAAAAAACTATTGTGCTGATATTCTACAGACGATACTTAACTCTCGATCTTATGTCCCACTGTGAGGTCAGAAACAAAATGCCATCATCGATCTTGAAGGAAAAGTGCAAATCGATCATAACACTCAGAGTGTCACGGCTGGTGATACTGGGCTATCATCTGACTTGGAGGTTCTAGCTGCGGCGCTGGGAGCACCAGCTCGCAGAGTTTTGATACGCGCAGAAGAAGTCGGCCCGTCATCAGGTTGGAAGGATGGCCACTTATCTGCCAAATATGGATTCCTGCCTCCAGACCCTCTGTGGCCCAACAGTCGCCGGACCCGGGTCACTGATGCACGGAGATCGAGCCCGAGCAACTCGGGTAAGGAGCCCTTCTACCAGCGCCATCAAGACCGTGGCCGTTCCCGCGAGCGCCGTAGCCATGAGGATGTCCGTGACCTATCGCCTGATCTCCGTGACCTATCGCCTGATCTTCGGGCCTTCCTAGAACGTGGAAGAAGCGCGCGAGGCACGTGCTGCTGAGGCCCGTCACCACAATGCCGAACTTCGTGATAACCATCGTGAGAATTATTGTCGTCCTTACCGCGAATATCGCGGACACGGCCGTGGCCGCGGTAGAGGCCATTTTGAGGGGCGCTGGTAGTTTGTACGTCAGTTTGAAAGGGGGGAGGGGGGGGGGGGTGGGAGAGGACTCAGGGGCTAGGTTGTAGCTTCGAGTTTTTATTCCTACTTTTTAAGAGCTAGTTATTATGTGCAGTGTCCAAAAAAAACAAATTCGGCTTTGTGTATTTTTATTTTGTGATGAAGGTTTCTAGTAATTATTTTGCCAGATGTGATAGGCATTCGTGATATACCTGAAATATATTGTACAACAAGTCAGGTCAGGCTAGCATATCTTCAGCGACCGACAGTGTTGCCTGAGTAGTACTCGGGCGATATTTTGAGTACTCGGTGAGTCCCCGATTACTGCCAAGCTCTTGGCAAAGAGGGGTAAATAGATCGTAGAATAGAACAGATAATTGAAACCTTCTTCTACTTACGCGTTCTGTATTGCTTCCTATAATGAGTGACTCTTCGCTTTCGCTGGTGCTAGCTGAGTATCAGTCTGATGCTTTAGAGCTGCTACCCCTTATCTATAGCTGTTTCTAAGTTTTCTAAGGGTTAAGCAACGTACATTAAAGAGAAGGATAATAATAATAATAACAATAACATAAGAGGTATATAACTTTAGAGGGACTATAATGTACCTCTAGAGCTACGAGAGCATCTTTAGGAATAGATTATAAAGATAGATAAGGATTTAGAAATCATTAATAAGAATTAAGAACTTATATGCTATAAATTAGCTTTTATACATACTAACAGACCTTTAGCCTACATAGCAAGACTTTATAAGTAGCTTTAATAACTAACTAGAAAGCTCTATTAGTAAAGGCAGAACCTAAAAAGCTAAAAATACACTAAGTTTAGGGCAGAATGGTTTAAGACGCGTAAGTTAAACGTTCTTAGGCTCTTAGATCTATCTCTACTACATAGAGTAAATAAGACTACTAAATTCTCTCTAGCTAGAAAGGCTGTTATAGAGGCATTATACCTAGTAGATGCTAGTAAACTCTTAATGTTCTCTACTATAACAGCACTTGTTTCATTCGTGAACGCCTTAGTCGAAGCACTAACTAATATTAGCAATTAAAGCAAGAGGGGACTTAATCCTGCTATTCTGCCGCCTAAGAGGAGGATGTGTAGAATAGGGACTCAACCTAGAAAATTAGAAGAAGTGGTCTAGATGAATTTTAATATGAGCGTATCATAGTAGGCATAGTAAGGGGGTTTGTACGATAGGCTAAGCAGTAAATATGTCAACTTCCTCGGCCAGCTATTAGGTGCACGCGATACCGGAGAAGTAATACAGGACCTAAACTACAACCTATGACAGTCCCAGCCCCTTTAATCCCCCCCCCCGTTAGTATTCCCATCGACCTCGTCTTCTTAGGCGGCCATGAAGGTGATGACATGACTTTGTGAGTTCTGTTGGTAGAAACCTGATACCTAGATGCTGAATTGCGTAAGTGGTTCCAGGGCCAATATTGCTTTTATTCAACAGCGCCACTAACTTACCCCGCCTTTTGCGGGCTGTTAGCTCGTATGGGGGTTTGGGGTATGAAGGCTCCACATCCGAATGTGGACAGGATCGCCCCACCCTAGTGAGGGGGCGACCGCCGTCTATAGCCGTGCGGAGTGAGCGTCGTCCGTTGCTTCAACCTCAATCTCAACTCTAGACAGCTTTCACCACAACGCTACCTCGCCCCTGTTATCAATTGGCGTCAGTGATAGAACTGTAATCTGTCTAACCCACCCTACTATCTCAAGGCTCCACCGAGTAATACCGGATGACGCGCAGCAAAAATTTGCGGCGATATCGCGCCTGCCAGCGTTGTCGCCGCCGAAAGCTGCGATGTGTAGAGTGAGGTGTCCCTGGTGCTGCAATTCCTCCATATCGGCGTCGCTAATCTCCAACAACAGCCACAACACAGGTTCAGGTGACCATCAACCCTGCTTCGAATGTTTTCGTGCGGGAGAGACATGCCTAGCCGCCGATTCGCGACGTGGAGGGAATTACTCCCACCTGCGAGCATCCAAGGCAAGGCAACCAACACCAGCCAGCTCAAATGGATCGCCCTCCCCAGCTGCCGACTATCACATAGATCAGGGGACGTTAACAGCTGGTATATCCGACACAGGACAGACGTTACATTCCAATCATTCCCATGCGTCCATGTATGCCGAGTTAAATAATCCGGGCGATGCTCTCCAAATCCTGTCTAGGATCGCAACGAGCGAGATCAATTCTTCTCAGGATAGGGTCAATGTGGGGGCTGCCATCCCACCCTCGAGCTCGAGCATCGGCGGCAATCGTGACTTGGGAAGGGCGACGACCCAACGCCATTTGAGCACGACCTGTGCAGAATCATCCGAAGCGGAATATCTTGTTAATCACGTACTAGGTGTCGCCACAGCCAGTCAATTGCTAGAACAGTGAGTTATTGTCGCTCCTGCTTTGTATCTTTCTTTTTACTCGTCTAACTCGTTGCCACCATCATTAGTTACGCGCGGAATTATCATCCGTTCGCACCACTGGCATCAAAGAAAGTGCTTGATCCCTTCAATATTAGTACAACGGCAATCGAAGAGCCATTACTGCTTGTGGCCATCCTAACCATATCAAGCAAAGACGACAACCAATTCTTGAATGTTTATCAGCAGTGCTGGTGTTATTTGAAGCGGCAAATGTTAGATCTTGTCCTAGCTGTTCCATCGACTTTGCAAGTAGGGTCAGTCGAGGGCCTACTTCTTTTGTCTGATTGGCTAACCTGCAGTCGAGATGGCGTCGGCTCTTCTGGTTTACATCACAGAAATCTCAGTACTTCTGAAGATAACATGGCTTGGTCCTTGATCGGCCAAGCAGTCCGACACGCTTATCTCCTGCGTTTAGACCTGGTTTCTTTCCGCGAAAAAGTGCCAGGTGAGTCTCGGGAACTGGAAGATAGGAAACGCTTAGCATGGATCTGTAGGTTTTCTAACGACCCGTTGAATATTTGAAAAGAATTCTGACCGTCACAAGTTGTCTATATTGCCGATCGGCAAATATCGGTTCGAATGGGCCAATCTTTCTGGTCGCGTGGACCATCTTTATCAACCAAGTTTACCGCCGACGACTTTCCCAGTCTACAATTGACCGAGGATTCTGAACACTGCTATGCCTCTGTTTTACAAGCTACGATTGAACTCACTCAATTGTTGCACAACGTCAAGGACGTGCTCTACTCATCCAAGGCACGAACTGCCCAAATAATGCTTGTGGGTGATTACAACCTATACCTCGATGATTTTCGTCGGTCATTATCCATCTGGCAGGAGACTTGGGGCAGCTTGAATGCGTCACCAAAATTGAAAAGCACTCTGACGATTGTTTATGAATATGTTCGACTCTATGTTAACGCCTTCTCATTTCAGTCACTTATAACGAGGGCATGCCGTGAAGACGCTACAGCCAATACAGACCGTTCGTTCAACTTGTTTCCGCGGGGTATCATGGGCTCGACCGACGGAGCTTATATATTCGAAGCAACGCATGCTGCTAAAACCATTATCACTATTATGACAGAAACAGATCCTACGGTGCATGTCCGCTACATGCCAACGCGATTCTATATGTGAGTTTCAACTACAGATTAGCCAGTCGGCACACTTGGGACGTTTGTAATGACTTAGTACAGCTATACAATATATTCAGCAGTTTTCTTACACAAAGCCGTCGCGTTCGGAGCTTTTTCAACCAAAGAGGAAGAAGCTGATATTCGAAACCTCGTCTACACATATATTCTTATCTTACAAGAGGCGGCAACAAATGATTCTCACAATGGATACCGATATAGTAGTCTATTGAAAGCTCTTTGGTTTCCCGGTGAGACCGGCTCGTCAGCTCCATATTGTGGAAAATCCGGAGAGGCTTCAAGCGAACCTCAACGGATGGATTATAATAAGGAGCCGTCAGCCCCATCTGAGCCTATGAATTCTCAAACCACTTTTCACGATGACTACAACAACGGCAATCATAGCGCTTTCCGAAAGGAAATGGCTTTGCCCATACTAGATGACGGTATCCTGGACCCTTTCTTTCCTTGGCTGGCAGACATGAGTACACCGCAAATGGACACGGGTGGTACGGATGCAAGCATTGGCGTTAACGCTTGGATGAATAGTTTCTTTAGCGGACTAGCTAATTACTGAATAAATAAGACGACTGTACTTTTAAGAACAAACATTGTCCTTGACTATTAGTACTAAAATGTCCAATTAGAGAATTGTAACTAATGCAGAGTTGTCTAAATGATTATAGCTCTTTTCCTTTTATTGTCTCAATTATTACGCGCAATATACCTGCCATTCAAGGTCTGTAATTGTCTCGAATGTTAGAAAGCCTTATATGTTTAATGATCCAAATGGCACTCATTGCTAAGTACAGAATAAAAGGCTGTCGTTTGCAAAGCCCGCTAACTGAACCGATAATCTAGCTTCCTGGCAGCTAGGATTAATTACCAAGCAATAACTATAACCCCCTTCGGCTCAATTGCATACCTGCCTACTATGTAACTCCATTAGCAAATTTTCTCATTGCGATGTAGTACATGTGACTCTTCTTCCACTAATTAAGCAGCCTAGGTATTTATGAGATAAGTTGCCCCACAAACCTGACGTTTCGATCCTTTTTTTTAGTCTGGATTACGAGGCGATCGTGGAAATCTCGCACTTTTGATTTTAACCAGCCTAGGTATATTTCTTTTTATACCAGTATGGATTTACGCCATATTTAAATACACGCAACACCCCCAGGAAATAAATTGGATACGCTGATCCTTCCACCCACCCTTACACCCTGCACCTGCACTCACGACCACCCATCTCCCAGATATTCACACAATCACTGAAACGGTTTCAAGCCAGGGGGCTGTAACCTCTTTGCAGTCAAGCAATTTGCTAAGAGTTCGAATTCACGTCCTCAATCTGCGAAACAGGTTCGGGTCGCATAGAATCTTTTGTGTCCGGAGAAACATTCTTCTCAATATCCTCGAGCTTATTGGAGGCGACAGGCGTCTGACTTTGTACATGCGTTCTCCAAGGTGGGGTTCTGGACTCAAACACGGAATCGATCTCCTCCAAAGTCTTCCCGGCTGTTTCGGGAAAGCAGAAAAAGACATGTAGTCCCATTGCGGCACAGAATGTTCCGAACAGGATGTAAGTCTTCCACTTTATGCTTTCAAGGCAGATTGGAACCAGGAAACTCAGAGCGAAATTAAATATCCAGTTAGCCGAGGTTGATATGGCGACGGCTTTACCACGGAGTCGTAGCGGAAAGAGCTCAGGAGGATAGATCCAAGAGACGGGACCCCACGTAGGCGCAAAAGAGGCGACGATGAGATATGAAGAAGCGATAATAGCCTTAGACGGGGCTCCATGAATTTGCCAGCTAACTGCGGGAATATTGTCCACGCCTCCTGGAGGCGCAGGGGAGCCATATACTCCCATTACTCCCCCGCACACGAACCACCAGAGAGTCAACGAGGCACTACCTGTGAGAAGTAGCCAACGTCGTCCAAATTTGTCCACGTAGAAAAGTGCGATGATAGTCGTTACCATGTTGATAACGTAGCTGATAGATGATGCAACCAGGTTTGCATTGCCTGATAGACCAGCCATTGCGAAAACGTAAGTGATGTCTGGATGGCCGTCATTAGTATCGTATGTGGCAGATGGGTTCTAAATATCGAAAACACTTACAATACATGATAACATTGATACCCGAGAGCTGAGACCATATTTGGGTGAAAATACCAATGTGGGCTCGCCACAACATCTTTCCTTGGAAGAGTTCAAAAACCGAGTGATCGGCATTATTGCGGTCAAATTCACAGGCCTCCTTCAATTCCTGTAACTCAAGCTCAACAAAGGGGTGAGTTAGGTCGCCCTTGGCATGTACCATAGCTAGGACTTGATGGCAATCTTCCCAGCGATCTTTGTAGGCTAACCACCGAGGAGATTCGGGGACAAAGAAGAGTGCTGCAAAAAGTAACAATCCTGGGATGGCCTGTAAGCCCCACGGAAGTCGGAATGCTATTGTACCTTCGAAGAAAGAGCAACCGTAGGAGAGGTAGAACATGATCAAAATACCCCAGGTTATAGCCCATTGCTGTGTGCCCACAACTAAACCACGGCGAGCTGGGGTGGAGAGCTCGGCAATGAAGACAGGACCCTGAGCGGAACATATCCCAACGGAAAGGCCATTGATAAACCGGCCAACGACTAGCATAGGAATATTTTGTGCGGCACAAGAAATTGTGCTTCCGAGTAACCTTGAATGATAATAAATAAAGGGACAGAATGTGACGAACAAGTATACTTCGCCGTGTATGGAATGAATCTTTAACTAACCAAATAACGCAACCAATCTGGAGCGATGTTCTGCGACCAAACTGGTCGGAAATGAAGCCTGAAGCTACAGAACCAATGAATGAACCTCCGGGCATTGAAGCTGTAATGCCTCCCTGCGTAAGTGGTGTAGGACCAGAACAATTGGGCGAATCATCAAATGGTTGTCCATGTGGACCGTGATTGAAATAACATTTATACTGGTTTGTTCCAATGCTGTGGTCTCGTCAGTACAGTACAATGCAGGCAGTCAGTCCATATTCGTGCTCTTCCTACATGGCTGACATTGACGAGAGATCAAAACCAAACAGGGTGCCGCCAACCACTGCAATGGCCGTGATCATATAGATGTTGGTGATCATGGTTGCAGGTTTTACCCATGAAATTTCTTTGGTTAAAACTCTCAGTTAGTTAGAGAAGGATATAGAATATGGAATATAAAACTTGTCGAGTAAAAATTGTGCAGCAGGAATTTCTTTAAATATACAGTTTGATGTGTATCTTTTCGAAATTATTTGGCCTCCACCTACGTTATGGGGTAGAGAACGCGGACTCCTCCTTGCGCTTGATTACGCCGCATCATTTGGGAAAGTCTGTGGGGCCATCTGGGGTAGAATCTGGGGTAGAATCTGAGGATCGGCGGTTAACGATCAATTTTTTCCTACCCCAGGTTTTATCCACTGTTATTTTGAGCTTTAGAGCTCTCGGATTGAACTACGTTCAACCGAATCCTTACCCATTTTCACCCGACACTATACCTCCATAAATGATGAATGTTGAAGTCCATCTACAACCGTCTGTAGCCATCTTGAACCATCCCTCCCACATGCCCCGCTTTCCTATTGGAGTACAGCCAGCGTTCACTTAGCCCGGTCCCCACTCTAATAGCGTTGATTTTTCTTGGTTCGGCAAATTATAGTTAGCCGTGTCCATGTTGCCTTATGGCCGACTACAGGCAGCGAACCTAGAAAGAATCGGAAAGCATTTCCGCGGTTCCTTTGACCCACTTGAACTTGCTATCATCTGCCCTGCGTATTAGATTGCGGAATCTCAAATCCACAAGCGCCGGGCAACATAAAATAAGCGAGGTACTAGGCATGGCCTATACGAAACAAGGCAAAGATTAGTTACATTATAGCAAACGAGCATGCATTTCACAGGTTCGATACGGCTATAGACGGTGTCGCATCGACAGATAGGGAGCTATATCATATGACGTAAAATGCTGGGGTTTACGCAGGATAGCTTCTGGATTGTTGAATATATAGATAGGTGCAAATGATTAAACGAATTCTGGATACAAGCCACCGAAACGAATCTTCGCTCTTCGTCTTGAGTTTCCAACACATTTTTCATATCCAGCCGGCCAGATTCTAATATCAGCAAAATGGGAGATACATCATCTATAAAGGATTCACCTTCTCTAGAAATTTCTTCTCCTGGAGCTATTACAATCAAGCCCCTTCATCCTACATTTGGTGCGGAAATCATTGGTGTGGACTTCTCCGTCCCATTATCTGAGGCAATCTTCAGTCAGCTACACGCTGCAATTGCCAAGGTAGGGTCTAGCGACATTTTTTGGTTGCTTCTAAAGGAAGCTATCATCTGCTAACTGGCGTCTTGTTGTAGTACGGAGTTGTGGTGTTCCGCGCTACAGTCCTCAACGACGAATCTCACATTGCTTTCGCTAAGCAATTTGGAGAGCTTGACGACGTTACACCATACACGGCTGCTGGTCGCAAGCATCGGCTTAAATACAATGAGCTTTTTGATGTTAGCAATGTGGATATGGACGGATCGATTCTAGATCCAGACACCCCTCGAGGCCAGGCAAATAAGGTAAACCTTCACATCAACAACCAGGGTATTCAATAACTAAGATAATAAATACAGGGAAACGGTTTATTCCATGTCGATTCTAGTTTTAACCCCCGCCGAGCAGGTTATTCGCTTCTACTAGCACACGAACTCCCTCCGTCAGGAATGGGAGGCCATACGGGGTTTGCTGATACCCGTACAGCATTTGACAATCTCCCAGAAGACCTCAGGGAAGAACTCGTTTCTAAGGATTATATCGCATGTCACTCAATTCATCATTCCCGAAAGTTAGCAGCGCCTGAATTTTTCGCCAATGTCGATCCCGAGAAATATCCAATGGGAAGACACCGACTTGTTCAGCGCCATGAGGCATCTGGTAGGATGAATCTTTACATCGCAGCCCATCTACATCACATTGAGGGATTGGAGCCTGAGAAGTCGAAAGCTCTTATCAACCGCCTTTTGACAGCTGCAGAGCAATCCTCGAATACCATAGAAATCTTATGGGAGACAGTTGGTGATTTGGTTATCTGGGATAATACGTGTACTATGCATCGAGCTGTTGGCGGCCCGTTCCTTCGAAAGTATAGGAGGGACATGCGACGCGCTACTGTTCACGATTCAAGTTCTCAGGCATGGGGATTGAATGAGCATATCGATATTAGACAAGGCATGCCATAAGTTACTGGGTTGTAATTCGTCGTGACCAAATATAGCTTCGCTCATAGTTGGAAGAAGCGACTGCGCGGTTTGGAATCGACCACCAATACATTTTCATAGTAATTTATATAGAAGCTATAAAACGTGCATCCCTGCATCGAGGGACGCACTCCGTGACGGGACAAATATTGGTACTTTGAATACAATTGATAATAAATTTATGAATCTATTGAAAATTCTAGTATTTTTGTGTTAGCCATGTTGTATAGCTATTCCCGAACAGTCAAAACCGTAGCTACTATGAAAGTTACGATCACGTCGTCGCCTCGCGCCTAATTGCGGAGTGCGTCAATTCGAAGCATAATAGAGCCCCTCGACCTACAGCACCACCACTAGCTCTTTGCACCTTTTAAACTCATATAACACTTTGATCTGGGTTCTTGAGCCTCACTACGATGCTGAAAAATCATTTTCAGCCATGTAGTGACTAGGGAGTGCTGTGTTATGCGACGTCGTCGTATGGGTTCGTACTTCTAAATTAAGCGATTAAAGATCCTTGGTAACTTGGTAATAAAGGTGTGGCTGTGTGGCGGCTTGCTAAGCCTTACCGAAAAATTATGGTTTCCCGATACACTCTGAGTTGGATCGTACCCTCTTGAGCGGAGTAAAAAGTAGTCAACATCTGCTAAAATCGGCCGTTTTCTCTTTTAGTTGATACTTTCAATCACGACAAGTCTGTGCGCGTGGGATTTCGGAGCGTTTTGGGTGGCTTTCTCACACTCAGCATCGGCTCTCACCTTCGGGTACACAGAACGAGCAGACGCAATAGGGTGATAAGATGTAGAACAGCACAAAGCTAAATCCGAGAGTCCCACGGCCTTCCCCTGAACTTCCAACAGAATAATCACGTAGTTAACTATAGTCGCATGATATGATCTATATCCTGTTTTCTTAACATATTTTGTATTTAAAGTACTAGAATATTTGCATATTAGTGGTAGTAAAGGATGGCACGATTCCGGTCTTAAGACATACAAAAGAGATGGTAAAGCTCTAGGTGACTTGGAGGACACCTTTATCTGTAATAGAATAGCCGACGTAGTGAAGCCATAGTGCTGGCACATATGTTGGGCCGGTCCCACTAGCCTCAATGAGCCTGGTGTGGCGAATAGCGTCCTGATAAGGGATCCAACTTGTCGTGTTCAGCGCGTAGTTCGTTACTTCATCCACCATGGTAAGACCAATGACGAAGCATAAGGCCGGCTTGTATAGAGGATTGAGGGCATCGCCATTGACCACGATCTTTGCTACGTCCTTTTTCATGGCCCTAACAAAGGTCTTGAACGTGCCGGATCCGTTGTCCTGATAGAATGATTCGCACTTCAACTCGACGATCTGTGTTGGTTCACCGTCACACAACAGGAGGAGGTCAACGCGCTCGTTACTTCCGTCCCACACGGACTGCTCCCGATAAGTCTTCGTATCTGGGAACCCTTGAGTCAAGCCTAGAGCAATGTTCACTTGCATCCAACCTTCCCAGCCACCTTTCTGCGGGTAGATTTGGCGGAGGGTGGGATACATCGGTATTGCCCATCCACCAATGATGGCGAGGATATTGTCTAGGGTGGGCATGCCCTTAGACCGGGCGTAAGATAGACCCTTTTTTAGTCTGTGAGTGATGTCGGGCGGGTTAGGACCCCAAGACGCCGGGTAGAATACGGCCCAAACAGGCCACAGAGCGTCGACGAGAGTCCCACACATGCCGGCCCATCCTACGAAACAACCATTTTGCGGAGGACTCCATGTCTGTATTGGGTTAACACCTGGTCCGTAGGTGATAGTTGGCTGACGGTTCGTTGTGATTTGGACGAGGTTCGTGAACGTACTCCAACTGACCCCTATCTGAGTAACTACCTCACCCGGCCCCAGTTGTATAATTGGATTGAGGCCTCCAGTTTCTCCGTGGCCATTCGTCTTTACAAACGGTGGGTCATTTGGATCTTTCGTTGTGTATGTCGTTGCCAGCTTGGTGACCCAATTATCATCAGACTGGATAGAGATCGTGGAAGGTAGCACCCCCCTTGGAATATCTTTCTCAAGTAGGTCACCGAAAGGAACACCAGTACGGGGCTCGCGACTTGAAGATGCTGGCACCAGAGCGAATTGCGCAACCGGAACCACAAGTTGAGTCTGGTCAATAGTTGGCAATAGGACATTTGGATTGGTAGGATCCTTATCGACACTACGTCGCCAAGTCGCGATCGAGTCCCGGATCGCTTGGGTGTTCGTCACATGGGTGGAGAAATCTGGATCCGCAGACCGCATGGAATAGTTGTCGTATATACTAGCAATGTTCGCGATGATGTTCAGGTTCGATTCTGCCATATAATCAATATCGACGAGCATGGAAGGCGACTCTGTGTATTGTTGCTTATACGCGTTGATTTGGGAAAAGTTTGGCGGGCAGTCGTCTAAGGCGGTGTAGCATGTGGTGCCAAACTCCAGGACTTGGGGAGCGTCCATTGGAACGGTGTTGAAGTTTAGTACGAAGGGCACAAGTTCATTCGCTGTTTGAGGAACAGGGGTCTTCGTGAACCCAATGGCTTTCATATTGAAGTCGGTCGCCACACTCGCTGTGTTCGTGATGCTTTGTATTTCTGTGTCAAAGTTTGCACTGAACTGGGTGGAAAATCCAGAGAATGTTGCGTCGGCAGAATTGACGATTGATTCGAATGTTTCCTCATCATAGGCACGGAAACTGTACGCAGCAAGGAACTGCCCACCGGAAGTGATTGATGAAACGTACGAATCTCCGCCTTGTTTGTAGAGCGTTTGGGAATCTTTAAAAGAGTCATTGAACGTGGCTCCAGTGACAGTGGTAGTGGTTCTCAGTGTGGCCTCGACCAAAATGACCACAGTAGTGGTGGTTATCTGTAGGAGACTCATGAATTTAAATCTATCGTCGAAAGATCCCCACTAGATGATTAGGAAGTCAGCATTTGATATTCTAGCACGGTTTGAATGCAAAGATGACTGTTTTAGAATGTCTCAAGAGTTGAATAAGACATGAGCAAAGATAGCTGCTGTGGGATGTCTCGAGGGTACATGGGATCATTAGGATGAGTAAGATAAATTTCATAGAGAGGATTTATCAGAGGAGACAATCATCTTACAGGGCTATTGACTGAAACAGAAGCGTCGATGTTTAGTGCATTCATGACATCCTGCCTTGAAGTGCAGATATGAACCAGCGGCTCAAAGGCACCTTGGACGGGACCACTGGTGGCAGGATCGATAACATTGTTCATGGCAGTGCCGTAGAAGGTGTTGTATCCGACACCTATTGCACCGATTGCCGTGGTCTCAAGCCGTTCTTCTTTTCCCATCTTAAAGAAGGGACCTATGGTAACGAAGAACTCGTTGGTAGATTACTTTAGAGAGATGTGTAAGGAGAGGGTTGCGAAGTTTTTTCCGTATAACTCAGAAAGTCAACGTATGGGTAGAGGAGAGCTTCTTTGGGAGGAGTAGGTGGCATTACTTATAATGAGCAGCACCTGGCTCGTACAAATACGCCAATCGAATCGTGTCTGACCTCATCATACTGTCACCCCTCATCATACTGGCTAACACTCATCATACTTCATCATACTGTCGCCCATCATCATAGTGCTGCAATACGAAAACAGGCTGTCTGTCAAAACGGCGTCTGCTACACTGCCATTAAATCCAATGTATAGAGTAATCTTGTATAGTAAACTTTGAAATCTAAAGTAAAATCCCCGCCGCCCATTCCGATAGTGAAGTACAGTAAACTTCGAAACCGGCTCCGCCCAAACACACTCTCCGGAGAGTCATGGAATTGCGCAAGACTGAGTGGAGGGTAGAACGAGGGACATCACCATGATCTGCAAGCCTACCGTGGTGATGGTGTTGTGAAGGGGACGAGTGACGGCGGTCCAGTGACAAGGCACTAGCGCGCTGCCGCGCGCCTGCCCTATAGAAAGTTCGAGAAACCTGCTCATACACTACGCATAGCAGTCTACGCCACACACATGACCAGGCTTCCACACCCTTAATGAGCCACACAATATGGCTGACTCAAAAGTACTGTAATTTCCAATGGATTTATAAATTTAGAATCAATTAAATTCAAAGTACTCAATATTTGTCCCGTTACGGGGTGCGTCCCTCGACGCAGGGATGCACGTTAGATTCGTTATCTCAATGAATTCTCACATCATTGCTCTTACTTACTCTCGCCCCCACTCTAATCGTCGGTGTTCGCACCGACCACCTGCGGGTGGTCGGCGAAAGCAAAATGAGACGCGAAAGCAAAGTGAGACGCATCAACTAAGATAGACTCATAATACAACTTACAGTACAACTACTATCTTATTTAATGCTCTACTTCTTAATTGAATGTTACTAATTCTTTTAAGGCTATTTGCGATATCAAAACAACCTAGGGTCTAAAGTATCTTCTAAATTAAGCTTATAGTCCAACCTACTAAATCTAATAAAACCAGTCTCCCTATCTTCGTCTACCTACAACTGTGACCAGCCTATTGTTGAAATCAATTGAGAGGTAGCCTCTTCCTAAAGCTCCGATTCCTAGGCTAATTTCTTAGGGTCTAGAATTAGCTCAAGTAAATTAGGAGGAATCTCTTAATCTGCCTTTAACAGGCTCTTAATCTAACGCTTTCTTGCTTGCTCTACTTTGCGTGCCTCTACTCTACGTTTATGAAGTGCTTTCTTAACCTTCCTTAAAGCAATTTATGATCTGTAATTTACACTCCACTCCTGTAATTCCTTATGTTTTTTAGCCTTGTCCTCCTTCTTTTTCTATGTATCTTTAGCTGTTAAAGGACCACTAGTTGTCTAAAGGACAGAGCGACTTCTAATCTTCGCTTTCTATTGATTTGCAACTTTTATAGAGAGCAAATTATACTGTAGGACTGCAAGCTCTCTATATGCAAGCATATCTTCTATACTATGTGCCTAGGAATTCCACTCTTAAGCTAATGGACTAGAGAGTAGGTCTAGTATTTTAGCCTACTAGTGTTAGAGTTTAAGTTCTAAATGTATAAATTTTGTTAGTGTTCTTAGAATTTCTAAAGTATCTTCTAGACGCTTAGGAGGAGCATATACTTTCATTTTCTTTAGAGCTTCCTTTAGGTTAATTAGCTACATTCTAGAGTTACAAAAGGCTCTTATAATAGTTCCCTTTTTAAACGTGTTCATACAGATCTTAGCTATATTACAAAAGAATGAAGCTATATTATAATTAATATCTAAGCTTTATATAGCATGTTGAACAGCTTTCTTATGCTAGTGTTTATATAGTTGGAAAACACTAACATTAAGAGGTTGCATTATATAAGTAAGATGTAATGGAAAGGGGTATAGATGAATATTCATTTCTGTAGCCTATAAGACAAATTCTAGAGTCGTATAGCTTATATAACTGTCTATAAGAAGCACTTTCTTCGATTTATTAGGGCTAGCATCTATATGCTTTATAAAGTGCTTTAGAAAGATTATTGTAAGCTTGCTATTTATATATCCTAAGTCTAAAAGTAAGACTAATTCGTTGCTACTTAATTTCTTATTATACTAGGACTCTATATGCTAGCGCCCTTATATAATAATTATAGGTAGATGCTCTTTTCTAATAGCATAGATAGACTTAATCACTATAACAGATTTGCGGTTTTTAGCCATAGGAACATACATCTTAAGTAGGTTAGCTTAAATTCAACTAACTTAATGATAATAGACTTGTACAAACTTCTGTTATATATGCTAGAACAACAACCTCCTCTCCTAGTGCTACCCCTACTTAGAATCTAGTCTCATTAAAGTTATAAATATCCTATAGCTAGATATTATGTTGTGTACACTAAGCTAAGTATTCTAAAAACTAGTTTTCAACAGTAGAAATATTGTGCGATGTAACGCGTACTTAAGCAATTGCCTTAGTTTTAATAACTTAGAATAGGTCTAGATGTACCTTTATAAACCCTTGAAACTACCGCTATGAAGGTAGTAGCTTTAATGGTATTTCCGTAGACTGTAAATGACAAATTGCTGTGAATACCATCTGTTTCAATGCTCTATATCCTACATGATATAAGTCCTCTACATATTTGTAGACTGCCTTAATTTGTGCCTCTAAGAGTATTTTATTATGTCCTCCCTATATGCTCTTTAGCTTCGCTACTCGTTGACGGGCTGTACGGAGGGAACTAGCGTTTACTTTGAATATTCGAGCTGCTGTAGTTAGCTTTTTAGAGGGGTTTTTAGACAGGAACTTAAGGGCTTCATCTCTTGGATTAGCAGATATTTCGTTTTCAGCTTGCATTGTATTCGTTATAATAGGGGTTGTGGTATTGACATTAAAGAACAAATCATTTGCATACAAAATTGTAGAGGAACCATTTCTCGGTTATGTACCTGACACGTCTCACTTTGCTTTCGCCGACCACCCGCAGGTGGTCGGTGCGAACACCGACGATTAGTACCTACTCCCACTCTCGCTTCTACCCCTACACCCACCCCTACCTCCACTCCAACTCTCGCTCTTGCTATCGCTTGGAGCTTCGAAGTCTAGTATTGGATTCTGGTCCCGTATAAGAATTACGTGGTCAACTTTTTGAGAGCTGCTACCCTCTTTGTCCGAGGCGCTCTTGATTCTTGGCCTCAAAATCAGAACCACGAAGCTGCTTCTAGACCTGATTAACTGCCTGGCGCGTTGCTCTACAAAGAGTGTGACTCCATATTATAGTTAAGTAGGAACTCATGATATTCCTGAAACCACCTCTTAACTGTTAGCTTATAGTGGGCCTTTACACACTGCTACGTAATTAGCTTAGTAGTGATAAAATGTAATTATTAGAGCTCATCATTAATGAATCTAGTAAGCCAGCTTTGTAATAGCGGTGGTTGTAGGTTTCTAGGTTGGCAAACTGTAATATTATGTAGGATGTTGAGTATCCGAATTATGTGACAGGATTTGCTATAAGTTATATGACAGGGTTGAATGGCTTTGCGTTATATTCCCATGCTTCTGTTTCTAGCCTAACTCTCTGGTGCTATTTCAATAACAACTCTTCCTTGTAATGTGCCCGCCTTCATATCGCGAAAAACCGAACTCATATTTTCCATTTTCTCCTTGCGTATAGCTGTCTTAACCAACCCGCGCTTGGCTAAGTCAAGAATCTCCATTGCCTCTTTGCGATTTCCCACCGTGCTGCCGACAATGTTCAACTGCTTCCCCACCATTGCCCCGGGTATGGCATTAGCAATTGCAACAGGTTCGGCCGGAACTCCAACACAAACAAGCGTGCCATTGAACTTTAGATAGCTCAAGGCCTGTGCATAAGCTGCGTTGCTGCCGCTACAAACAACAACTGCAGCTGCGCCTCCTCCTGTTATTCTCATAATCTCCGTTGTAACCCTGTCCTCGGCCTCACCTTCCCCCTTCTTCAAAACATCGATGAAGACTTCGGCGCCACAGCTTTTGACGAACTCCTCTTTGCCACCAACGTCCAAACCGATGATTCGGAATCCCATTGATCTACTGCCTATTTGAAGGGCAAGGTGCCCTAAGCCACCGCCAGCTCCTGCAATGACCACCCAGTCCCCTGGTTGGGCCCTGCTCTTCTTAAGGGCACTGTATGACGTCAAGCCACCACATAGCAGCGGCGCCGCGATGTCGCTAGGAACCCCATCTGGAATGGGTGTCACATAATGACATGGTGAGAGGACATACTCCTGGAATGTACCGGGGCAATGATATCCGGAGACCTTTTGCTTCACACATATACCATCGGCACCGGCCATGCATGGGTCACAATTCCCGCATGCTGACGCAGTCCACTTGATACCTACCCGGTCTCCCAGTTTGACATTCGCATGATCGCAGGAAGGGCCTAGCTTGGCGATTGTACCGACACCCTCGTGGCCCCCGACTTGGCCAACCTTAGCATGCATTCCTTCCCACTGTGAATTAGGATATACTGTTAGCTATGAGCTCCCTTCAGCCCAAGTATTACTGGGGTGTGTTGTATTGTAGAAAGATGGCATTCTTACCGAGTTTAACATAATACTCATGTCCGAATAGCATACCCCAGTATGAGTGCTGGCGGAATCATTATCAGCAGAATTCACCGAGTTGAGATAGGTAGGAGTACATTTTCACCAATATCTCGCCCATTCCTGGTTCAGGTGTCTCGAGTTCCACGATTTTAGTCGAAACATTGCCAGGACTGTCGTAGATAAGGGCTCGGTGGGTGTGGTGGGCAGTAGACGACATCGTGTGCAGTGTTTGTAGGATTGAGGTGCTGCTTCACAGACTGAAGATCGATAATTAATGCCTCAGAGCGTCAGATTTCTTGTTTTCAGGTTTCAGTAAGAGCGCTGTCAGTCGCAGTTTATGGATCTCTAACATCAACAATTATTAAAATTTATACAGGACTCTTTTGTATAACCCCCCCCCCCCCCAAAAAAAATAGCGGCAGTCTTCTGAAAGACCACGGGATCTCCTTGCCCGACTAAGCCCTCAATGGAGGTTTGGACGTCGACGCGGGGTCGAAAAGACGCGTATATGGCTGTGGGGCCGTCGTCCGTCTATAGCCGTGAGCTCCCCGCGACCGTCTGCAACCGTCCCATGCCACCAAGCAAATGCTCTATTGTTTTCTATCCACATCCATTTAACCCATCTCTAGACGTTACAGTGGTTATAGCGCATATTCTGATCGTCATTACCTCGCGAATAGACCTAGTACTTCAAATATTTCGATCCTGGTTTTTCCATAATTGGAGTTAAATCCGCCTAATTTTCCTCCCAAGCTCAAAATATCATTCTTCTCTCAGGCCTTATACCGCGAGTAATCATGACTGGAAAACATCCAGTCAAGTTCGATAAATATTTCAATGTTGTTGCCGGAGAGCTGCGTGATTCGAAGACGAAATCCCATGGCATTGATCCGTCCACGAAATCCGAACTGTGGCCGGTGCCAGTAGCTACCGACAAAGACGTAGAGGACGCGGTGGCAGCTGCAAATAAGGCCTTCGTGACCTGGTCCGAAACTCCATTCGAAGAAAGACTCAAAATGATTAAAGAATACCAAAGCGCCTACGAATTGTATCTCGATGAGTTTACAAATGTTTTGATGAAGGAGGCTGGAAAACCAAGGGTTACCGCCAGTGGAGAATCTGAGGACGCCTTGAATCAGTTCGAGCACAATTTAAAATTAAAATTGCCAGAAGAAGTGTTGCACGAGCCTGACCGAATCATCACCACACGACATGTTCCTCTTGGTGTTGTGGCCGCTATCTGCCCTTGGAACTTTCCCATTGTCCTATCGCTCGGAAAGATCCTCCCGGCGATTTTAGCGGGATGCTGCATCATCATCAAACCATCGCCATTTACTCCGTATACCGCACTAAAACTCGCGGAGATCGCTCAACAAATCTTCCCTCCAGGTGTCGTGCAGGCTCTTGGAGGAGATGATGCCCTTGGACCCACTCTGGTTGCACATCCAAAGATCCAAAAAGTCACCTTCACGGGTTCAACTGCAACTGGAAAAAGGATATTCGCGGCCAGCGCACCAACAATGAAACGCGTGGTCTTAGAGCTGTAGGTGCATTATCATCTAACCATTCAGAGCACTGCTAATATAAAATATCCATCAGTGGTGGCAACGATGCTACAATTATCTTCCCAGACGTGAATGTTGGTGAAGTTGCCTCACAAGTTGCACTTGGAGCTTTATTTCATACAGGTCAGGTCTGTGTGGCAGTAAAGAGAATATATGTCCACGAAGATATCTATGATCAATTCTTGGAAGCAATAGTACAGGCGGTCGCCAAAATGAGCATGGATGGGGACGAAGTCGAAGCTCCCTGGACATTGGGACCAATACAAAATAGGATGCAATACGAAAAACTTAGAGGATTGTTGAAGGAAATTGAAGCCAAAGGACTCAAGCTTGCTCTGGGGTCGGGAACCGTCGAGGAAAGCGAGGGCTATTTCATCAAACCTGTCGTCGTCGACAACCCACCCGAAGATTCCCGAATTGTAACTGAAGAGCAATTCGGTAAGTACCAGGAAGATCGGCGTGGTTAGGAAATTTTTGCTAACTGAAAACTGTGCAGGTCCAATCTTGCCGATTTTGAAATGGAAAAACGTTGAGGACGTGATCACTCGGGCTAACAACACTAAGATGGGACTCGCAGCTTGCGTTTGGTCAGCAGACACAGCGGCAGCGGAGAAAGTGGGCCGCAAGTTACAGGCTGGAAGCGTGTTTATCAATGCTACTGCGCTGACTACTCCAAAGGCAATGCTATCAGGACACAAAGAGAGTGGCCTTGGAGGAGAGTGGGGCAGTACGGGTCTCTTGAGCTACTGCAATGTGCAGGTCATGCATGAGTTTAAGTTAGTATGACAATAATTGCTAGGGTCAAGTTTTGTGACAAAATCGCCATGGGAGTAGCGCCTAGCAAAATCTAGCTATTACTATTACTACAACCGCACTTCTCTTTAATCCTTATTCAACTGCAATTGATTTTTAGTGCCCCTTATACGTACAGGCATTATGCCAAAACCCACTTTCTACATCTCAGCAAATAGTAGCTTTCAGCTTCGAAGCCGGCAGGAGTATGTGCTAGGTTGTTAACATGTACTAGGTTGTTAACTTTATGTATCTCGTAGCTCGCGTTGGCAGCAAGTGTGTATGTGCTTAGAACGCATCTAAGGCTTTAATCTAAATCGTTTTGTTTTAATTAATCCTAGGAAATGCATGCTTACTCTGTTATACTGCTGTTTTGCAGTTGTGCCTAACGCGCTAGCATGTTCTGTTAAAGAACAGAGAACAAATAACAAAGAGCTATCTTTTAAACTTAAAACCTAATAAAGAACTCTTCTTAATAAAGCTAGCATCTCCTACTACTGCCTAATGTAATACATGCCTATATTTAGCTATATAATGCTCTTATAAGGTAAGTAGCTACTAGTAAATACCTATTATTATCTACTCTTTATATCTATTCTAGCTTTTAGCTAGAGCTTAAAGAAATCCTTTAGTATTAGTAACTTTAAATTAAAGCCTAAGGGGCTTTTACTATAGGTGAAATTCTTTAATAAAAGGCTTAAGAAGCCTAGTGTTAACTCCCTTATTATAGTAATAAGCTAGAGCTAGAATTTAGTACTTATTAGCTTAAGATATTTAAGAAATAGTATAGTATTTTAGTTCTAACATAGTAAAGTAGGGTTAACTCTAAATGTAGACAAAGTAATAGAAAGACTATAGTATATTATAAAGTAATATAAAGAGGGGGATATATATAACATAGATAAGACTAGATTATTCTAGTATATGTTCTAGCCCAACTGCAAATAAACCATATTCGCGAATACGCTAGCCCATTCGCAAATGGGCTAGCCCAACTACAAATATTCTCATTTGCGAATAGGCTGGCCTAACCACGAATAATAGGAGTAGTTATATAGAATTTTATCAACTTTCAACCTTTAATCTTTTAATATAGGTCCTATAATTACGTCTACATTAGCTAATTCCTATAAGATGTTTACCCTACTATCTAATTTATAGCTAATAGACTATAGTAAGGAAAAGAGTACTATAAGAGTAGTATAACAGGTAGTATAAAGAGGTACTACTATATAAGAGGGCAAAGTATACTATATACTACTATATATATAGATTAGTATAACTATAGGAGCTTATTTAGAAAGAAATAGTCTTTGTTATAAGGGTAATAATTAAGGAAGTATGTTAGAGTAGACATGGTAAGAAATTAGCGATTTAGATAGTGATTACGTTAGCAATAATGTTAGTGGGCTAGTGCTACTGCTACTGCTACTATTTGTGGTTAGGCTAGCCCATTTGCAAATGAGAATATTTGTGGTTAGGCTAGCCCATTTGCAAATGGGCTAGCGTATTTGCAAATATGGTTTATTTGTAGTTAGGCTAGAACATATATAAGACTATTAAGAGGTCTTCTTTCTTAGAGTATTCTAGGCTATAAGGACATAGGGCACTATATCATGAGAAGTTGCATATAGGAGTGCGAGTTGGATAGAAGTCAGTGTAATCCTATAGGTCTACTATAAAGGATATAAAAAAGATGAAGGTGTAACCCTATATGGCTGTTCCCTTAAAATACCTAAAACTGCTCTAACTCAGCTAGCTCCCTGTTTGCCTAAGGCTTCCTTACGTTATGTGCCTAAGGCTGTTAGTTGCAACTAACCTATGCCCTAAGTCTTAATAGCACCACGTAACGGCTATAACTACCCTAAGTAAGGAGGCATCCTTACATAGGCTATAAGAAGTAGAAGGTATAAATATTACTTATTTTATATATAAATGTAACTAGAGAAGACTAAATCTAAATATAGTTTACTAGAAAAGTAAAGAAGCTATATATAATGCTAAGGTCCTAAGGCTAGGATATTATAAAGGTTTTATTATATAGTTTACTTAATAGAGAAGGTAGGGGATTAGATATAAAGGTTTTTATAAAACATATTACTAGTATATATTCTAGCCTAACTACTAACTATTCTAGTTAGCTAACTAGCTAGCCTAACTACTAACTTTTAGGTTAGTAGTTTAGCTAGCCTAACTACTAACCTATACATAGAATAGTAGAATAGTATATTAAATTAAATTAAACTACCTACTCTACTCTAGCCTACTTCTACTTTAGCCTCTTAACTAAAGCTATTTCTATATAACATATTTTATATATAAGTGGCTACCCTAAGTAAGTGGCTATAGAAAACACAAAAACGTATAGACTAAGAATAAACATATTGTATTATAATAATGTAAGCTTAAAGTGCTTTAAAAGAAGATAGAACACTTTTAGCTATTAAGGCTATTAAACAAGGCTACATTTAGAATGTTAAGAGTACTATAGAAACGTATAATATCCCTTAAACAACACTATAGCAACAAATTTAAGGAACAACTTCTTAATGCAACTATACCCCTAACTTACATAAGTTAACTCTATATAAAGAGTTAGCTCTCGTTTAGTATATCCTAGACCTAGATTTACGTAGATTCCTACCCTAGCTATAAGCTATATAAGAAATAGTAGACCTTCTACTCTCTAAACGAGGTAAGAGCTCTATTAGGAAGAACTAGACTACTAACTTTATAAAGCGTTATATAGAAATTAAAGTAAAGTTTAGTTAGAAGTATAACTATAAACAAGCAAAATGTAAAGATCCTAAGATAATTTAAGAGTAGTTTTCTCTTATATAAAACATAGTTATAAAATATAGTATCTTAGAGTAGGATATCTACAACTTTAATAAAGTAGGCTTTATAATAGGAGTTATTGCTACTATAAAGGTAGTTATAAGCTTAGAAGTAAAGAGTTGTCTAAAGACTATATAGCTAAGAAATAGGGAATAGGTGTTAATTATCTAAGGTGTTAATTTATATAGATAGGCACTCCTGCTGTTTATTATTTTTAAGGTATAGAATCACCTCTCTACTTAGTATAAGGACTTAGGATTATTAGACAATTAGGTGATTATGCTAAGTAAGAATAGGTAGACTTTAAATTTAATTAGGTATAAGTAGATTTAACACTTTAATTAACATATAAACAGTCGTTTAATTAGAACCTATTACCTTCTTATTCTTAATGGACATAAGAGCTACCTCTTAGCTTAATTCTAACACTACTATATAGAATGGAAGATAATTACCCTCTATATGCTACTATACTCCTTATATATTCTTTAGCTACTTAATGTTAGCTGCTTTACTCTACTAAAGCTTATGTATAGACGTTAGATTAAAACCTTTATATAGAATAGCCTAAATTATATTATAAAGCTTAAGTTTCTCTCTACATTTAAAGAAGCATTTAAAGCTACATTTATAGAGTAGAACATTAAGAGTAGGTTCTAAGCTATAGGACTAGTTCTATATAAGCTATAGAATGTTCTCTCTTACTTAAATCTACACTTAAGAACTCTAACTCCTCTTATAGTTAAGAGTAATAATTAGACTTTAAAGACTCCTTAAACTATAAGGGAGCTTAACTTTTAAACAGAGCATGTTAGGAACTACATTATATAGCATTAGAATAGCTCTCCTAGCTTAATTACTAATGTACTAAGCTAGCTTGCTAAAGGAGCTTAGGTTATAATGCATTCTACTACTCTACTAAAGGTAGAAGTTAAGGCTCTATAAGTAGTAAATGAATAGAAAAAGAGGAGGGAAAGGAAGTGTAAGAGATATATAATATAAGGGGGAAGCCTCTCTATATAGGAGGGAGAGGATATCCTTTATACTACTAAGGTTAATGCTTAAATCTATATAGAGGTAGTAAGTAAGAGTAGTTAGCAGGTAGGTTCTATAGGCTAATAGAAGCGCTATAGCTTATGTAGTATTATAGGCTATAATTCCTATATATGTAAGAGGTGCTAGGAATTAGTTTTAATTAAATAAGGGCCATTATATAGGGTAGTAGTATAGTAGTAGTAGTAATAGACGTGTTTTAGTGTTCTAGTAGGCAACTTGCCTATGTAGGCAACTTGCCTATAAAATACGTTAGCTAATAACAATTTTAGTTACTCCTAACTTAAGGCTAGACTTAGGAAGTAAGGCTAAATTACATATAAGATCTATTAGTATAACACCTCTATATAAGTAGATAGTATTTCTTAGATAGAAGCTTTATATTTAACTTAATATTATACTTAGATTAATACTATAACATATTACTTATAACATCTTTATATCTAATCCCCTACCTCCTCTAATAAGCTAAACCTTTAGTAAGAAACCTCTCTAAATTCTATACGTTTAAACTTAGCATTATATATAGGTTTTTAGCTATAATAAGGCTAAGTAGGAGATCTATTAGGAGGGGCTATATATATAGTAGGTATAAGAATGCTAAGGAGTAGGTGCCTTAGGCCTATGTTATTATTTACACTCTATACCCTATAGCTAGTAGGGGAGTAGTATATAGTCCTAACTTACTACTAAGTTAGTAGTAGTCTAACTCTAGGGTAGTAGATAAGAGTAGCTAAGCCCCTTCTATAGAGGGCTTAGAGATTAGTCTATTAAATACTATTTTAGTTACCTAAGCCTATAGCTATAGCATACTTCTACTAAAACCCTTATAATTAAGCTTTACTATTAGAATTACCTTAGAGCTATAGTTATTTAAGAAGTATTAGATAAATTAATTACCTAAAGTAGAGGCCTATACTACTACTTTATCTATAACGTTTTATACCTTCTTCTCTTTACTAATCCTCTTATTAAGGTAGGTAATATTTAAGATACTCTAACCCCCTTAAGTAAACTTTTTAAACTTTTCTATAACTATAGCCTAGCTATACTAGTTGCTTTTATATACTATAACTAATTCTTATATCTCTTTATTAGTACTATACCTTCTACTATATTATTGTTATGGCTGAAACATGCAACCTATA